TGTGTGTGTGTGTGTGTGTGTGTGTGTGTGTGTGTGTGTGTGTGCGTGCACGTTAACGTACGTGTACACGCAGCGAGATCAAAGCACTCGGGTCACTGGCATCCCGCCTGGACTCTGCGCTCCGACGTTGCTCTGGACCGACCGACCGACCGACGGACGGACACCACTACTTTTAGTCCCGCCGTCACTTGCGTTTTCAATATTATATAGTATATTATGGCGGTATAATAGGCACGTCACAGCATCGCCGCAACCAGTGCACAAGTCCGAACCGATATTATTCCGTCATCTTCCTCTTTTCTTAAAAAACACATAGCCGTCAAATAAATTATTATTATAAGCTAAAACTGCTACTACACATTTAAATTCCACGGTACATTCAACGTTTTTTTTTTCATTTTGACCCGAAAGACACCAACAGCGCTTTAAACGACCCACGCTCTTATATTATTTTAAATTCCCTCCAAAAATGAAATCGCATTTTTTTTCGTTACGTAATCGTTTTGTATAAACTAAAACATCGTATTATTTATTTACTCATTTTATTAGTGCAACATTTTTATAACCCGTAAAATAACATGAATACCTACTTATAATAATAAGCTGTTTTCCATCATAAATATCTTAAATTAAAACGTTCTGATGGAACACCGCGGGATCGAAAATGTATGGTAGAATTCAGAATTCAGTTACATGAAATATCCGAGAAAATAACTATAAGTAAACATACCATATATACTATCTACTTACGTAATAAGTTATTATTACTAATAACGTATTTTATACGTAATAATCTAGACTACTTGGTAATTTGAGTCTAATAGGAAGTATAATCTAGATTGATTACCATAAATATGTTTTAAAGACTTTAAAAAATTACCGAAGATTATGTCTTACTTATTTGTTGTATTAATTTCTGTCGTTATATATTTGTAAGATGCATTAACTCATATATTAGGAAAATAATATTACTTTAAGCTATTCTGAATGTTTTTAGTTTACTGGATATTCTTTATACCTAATAGATTGATCAATAAATTTATGATTTTTTTAATAAATGTGTGTCTACTAAAAACCGATTAGTAGTTTCTTTATTGAAATTTATTAATTTTGTTGACGTGTGGAATATTATATATTATACTATAGCCGTTTAGGTTGTGTATATATTATAACTTAAACTATACCTACGAAAAAGTCTTAGAAATATTAACTATAATACCACTCATTTATAATAATAAATAACTGAATATTATTAAATTAATTTTCGGTCTACATACATGCATGGCTACTTTATAATACATTTATGAATACTTCACATGAAAATTGCTTTAATCGATTTACTATCTTAGTACTATAGCAACTCGTTATTAAAAATATATGGAATTTTTAATATATATTGATTTTTACTCAAATTTCTTGAATAAATGTTATAAGCAAAATTATAATTAAAAACTATACCTATTTAGGCATAATTTATATACGACATAAAATATAGTTTATAATTTATGTATAAAATTTGTTTATGGTAATGTAACAACCCGTAGATCTAAATTCGAATCCAAGTTTCAAATTCCAATTGAATCACTACTTTCATATTGTTGTAATAATTTAAATTTTTTAAAGCTATATTTTAAATTATTTTTTCGATTAATAATTAATTTTAAAGACATTTTTTCTAGGTTTTTCAGGATATCAAAATCCGGACATTTGTTTAATGACAAAATTAAATTAACTTGGCAAAAAAAAAAATAATTAAATACATAATTAGATGCCGTAGATCTATGGTAATGGTTGCTATCAATTACACGGGTAATAATTAGTTACATTTACTACACGGTTTATTTAATTCTACTTTACAGCGGAGTATAATATACAACTTGTACTTTATCTAGTACCCAATGACTTTTTTTTTTTTATAATTTAATTGTATCCATTATGTTATGTAACTTGAACTAGCCAATGAAAACAACAAAGAACCCCATAAACATTTATATACATTTTAGATATAGTTGATACCTATATAAAATGTATAACATATATAATATATATATATATATATATATATATATATATATATTATACATCAATACCAACATAAGCATTAATTTAGTATTCTGTATCTTAAGCCGAAACATACTATTTTACCAATGAATTTATGTGTATAAACTCATTATTTAATCGATGTGTACAATATTATTATAATACAGTAATATACTCTATGATTTAAATTTACTATTAAAATAGTTCAACCCTAATCTACATGGATTAAAATCATTTTCGTTATACATTTTAGTGTAAAAAAATCAAATACATTTCCATGTAAAGTTTTACGATTATGAAATGTGTATAATTTGTAATAATAAAATAATATCAGACTTAATTTATACTTATTTGAATAATTTAGAAGAATTTAAACTTGTGTAGTTCCATTGTATTAGTCTTATAAAGACCGTTACCCAATATATCACAACCAAATCACTAAAAATATGTTTGTATATTTTATTTCTAACCATAAACATACTACCTATTTAATTGTTGGTATGTGTTTCCAAGAAACACAACCTATGAAAAGTTGTGAAAAAAGATAAAAATCATATAATTTATACAGAATCTAGGTCATTAGTATAAATATGAAGTCACAACTTAACTATAATAAAAATCGCTTAATATGTATTTAGTCATTCAAAATTATAATAACTTACATAAAAATAGTTTTTTGTATATAAATACAGATTAGAACATTTTATTTTGATAATATTTAATAATTAAGGTATTTTAATTCAAATATTAAAAAATAGTAATTTCATTTTTTGTGTTAGTGTAAATATATTAAAATAACAAATGTCATTATACGAACTTAATAAAAACAAACGCGAATCAATTAAATTAAATTAAAGATTAAGCTAAAATGTATGCATATCAGATATTGTTTTTAGATGTAAGATTAAAAAAAAAGTTTTAGATCAATTTGAATCGTATAATTTTTTTAAAAACTATGGAGTATAATAATATAATAATAAAATACAAATATATTATATAAGACAATATTTAATTTTATATTTTTTTTTTTTTATTATATAATATATCCGCGGCTTCTATGGCCATTGGACGTATAAGTATTTTAAATAGCTGCAATATGATAAAAAGGTTGTACTTGGTTATGAACAGAAATGTAAGTTGTTAAGAAAAGTTTTAGTTTTAAATATATTTGCCTTTATTTTAACAATCTGTGATATATTTTTAATATATAGTCAAATTATATTAAAATATTAACACTAAAAATAATAAATAATATCTTTTCCGAAATATGAATAGTAATAAAAATAATAATAATAACAATAATACTATACGTAAAGTTATACGAACAACACTATAACTATGTGGGCACTCTTATTAGACTGGACTTGATATTCCGTTTAACATAATTAAAATAAAATTATATATATTTAACGTATCTGCATACAAAGATATGTTTTCGTTTTGAACCATATACTTCAATATAATAAAAAAGTTACTTGAATAACTCCAAAAAGGAATGAAAAATAAAATAAAAAGCAGAGATATTAAAAATATTATGCATTTAACAAATACTTTATGAATATCTGAAAAACAAATTAATAAGTTATGTTTTTATGAACTAGGAATAATAAAAGCCAGTTAATACGAAAAAAAAACATTTTATCAATACATTTACACTAATTATATTAGAAATCCTACTCCAAATAATTTTATATTTTAATAAACATTTATATTAACTAAAAAAAAAAATATAAACCTCTTTTAGTATTGATTCATGATATAAAAGTTTAATGTCAAATTGATACGTTTTAATACTTTAAGATATAAATGACAAGTGATTTAAATTGTTAATATTTTCGACTCAAGTGTTCAATTTTTAAACAGACATAATCTAAACATTAAATAGGTACGTTAATGCAAGAAAGATTGTATAAAAAAAGGGAATGAAAATGGTGTGGAAAAAAAAATAAAAAATAATAAATACTAAAATCTATATAAAAAAAAATAACCGAAAAATTAGTTATATAATATCAAACCTAAATTGATACAAAAAACATTAAGTGCATCAAAAAATAATTCATATTAATAAACCTATGAATTAAAGACAATTATAAGCATAAGTTTTAAAATAGGTAAAATGTCGTGTAATAATCTAGGTAGGTTCAAACTATGTTATCAAGTTATTACTAAGTTAAGTGCTACTTAATTATCGGGGAGATCAAAACTATATTTCTACATAAAATTACATCTTGCATTTAGTTTAAGAATATTTTGATATTAATACCTATTAATTACTTATAATGATATAATATTAACTGTACTTTATAAAAATTAGCAATAAAATTCAAATAAACTATAAAAACCGAAACATTTATCATTAATAATTGACTTAATACACTTGTTTCTTAAACATGCAGCAGTTATATGTGAGTACTACATAAAAGAGACGTAATAAAAACTCGTAAAAACTGTAATTACATAGTATATATTTGTTTTTTTTTTTTCATTTTTTAAAATGATCTATGAGTACAGAGTGGTCGTTTTCAGATAGTTGGGCACCCCTACCGAGCGATTTGTTGTTCGTAACACAGAGATTCCATACAGATTAACCGCCATCCCAGACGACAATGGTGTCTCCAGAGGTCAAGGAACGTAAATATGCTTGCATCTCTAATCAAAGTATAGAAGATATAAAAGAGAATAA